ATACAAAATAAGTGACCACGTCAAAATGATTACAAAATTAGAGGCATCACACATAAAGGTCGAAGGGCACGTGAAAAATGTTCATATTATGCAAGTCAAAGGCAAATAAAATCAGTTTATGACAAGTACAAGTCAAAAAAAACTCATTCGGTTACAGAAATACAGAGATAAAGGAGTCTAAACAGAGATAAGAGAAGTTTCCACTTCTTCTCACTTCGATCGACTAAAGAAAAACTTGGGGGCAATTATTGAGGGATAAAAATTAACTCATATGATGTGGGCCAAACAATTCCTATATGGATATAGAATTAAAATAATAAAATAATGCATTGCAATATAACTTGTCAACTTGCCAAGTTGTTTTGGCATACATGCATCAGATGGATTTTGAACAATACAAGTGGCTCATTTTCATTAGACCAAATTGATGGCTTAAGCTCATTGGGCAAAATGAGTGGCAAGTTAGCCTATATAAATGGATGTAATCTTCAACTCCAGGGAGGGTATGCCTAAACTATTCTATTTACTTATTCAGTTTGATTTAGATATATGTTATCTAACTTCATCGTTGGAGTGCCCTCCGGACGACAATTGTCGGTCAAGAGGCACTAACTGTTTATTCTTTTTGTAGATTCGGAACAGTGCGCCTCAATTCTTTGTTAATCTTTCAATTAATATATATGGGATAATTTCTGCTTCCACACACATTACAAAACATAAATAACTATTTACAATAAAAAAAAAATTACCCTAAAAAAAAATTAAGAAAATTTTTAAATATAAATAAACCCAAATCAATTTTAAAATATAACTCAAAACTTTTTTCAAAACTCATAACCAAACAAGTTTTCTCTTTTCAAAATTTATTTCAAAAATTTATTTTTCAAAACATAACTCAAAACTCAAATTTCATTTAAAAAACTAAATCAAACGGATTATTTGTAAGATTTATTTTGTATTTTTTTATTTTCAAACACAATATCTCTAAGATTGTTTCCATGAAACAACACAAAAGATTAATTTAAAAACATTAAGGCCTTATTTGGTTTGTATTTGAGAAACATGTTTTGAGATAAAAAGTACGAAAATTTGTTTGGTTTGGTTTTTTTTCAAAAGATGTTTTGAAAAATTATTTTGAGAGAGAGTTTTGGAAAAAGTGATTGATTTGATGTGTATGAGAGAGAGATTTGTTTGGAAAATTTGTAAACCAAACAAGTTTTGGAAAAAAATTTTGGAAAAATTTGTTTGGTTTGATTACTTTTGAAAACTTATTTGTAGAGAATTTTTCTCAAAAGTTTTTGAGAAACACAAACCAAACAAGGCCTAATTGTCCCGAAACATAACAATATAAAAAATAAAAGATATCGTATGAAAGAAGCAACTATTGAAGGTACCAACCAAGTCATATCTCTAAGATTGTTTCCACGAAACATAATAAAAAATTTATTTAAAAACATTTACTCCGTTTGGTTTAATTTTTTAATTAAATTTTGAGTATAGAATTGTATTTTGAAAGATAAATTTTTAAAATAAATTTTGAATAGAGAAAACTTGTTTGGTTATGAGTTTTGAAAAGAATTTTAAGTTTCAAGTTATATTTTGAAATGGAAAATTTATTCATAAATCCTATATGGGAATGTTGATCCATTTAGTTAGAAAAATTTTCCTATGAACCAATTAGTCATTATTATTTTTTAATTGTATTTATTTGACTTGGTATCATTTGAGTTTAAGTGAATGCCTTTTTGTGATTCATTTTTCTAATTTTCTAATTTGTTATGGGGATGAGAATGAAAATGTGAGATGTAGAAAATTCTTTTTAGAGAGATTGGTGGCAGAAATCTTGGTTGTCAAGCGTGTAAATCTATATTTTGTTAGTGTGATTTTCTGGTGTTATAGTAGAGAGTGCTACGTTTGGAAAAAAATACACTAAAGAGTTTTTGTGGGCTACATTGACTGGAGCGTTACATTTGGAAAAAAAAATACACTGGGGAGTTTTTTTTTGAAATGTTACGTTGTTACGTTTAAGAAAAGTATATTGAAGAGTTTTTGTGTGTTAAATTAATTGGAGTGTTACGTTTGAGAAAAGTACACTAAGAAGTTTTTTTTAGAATGTTACGTTAGAGAAAGTATACTAAAGAGTTTTTTAGTGTGTTATATTGGAGTGTTACGTTTTTTGAGTATTACATTGAAATGATACGTTTGGAAAAAATACATTAAAGAATTTTTTTTTTAAGTATTACATTTAGTAATTTCAACACTTTGAGAAAACCCACATTTGTCACTCAACACATAACACATGCACGTTTATGCTTGACCCTTTATGTAATTTACAATAGAATGAGACCTTTGAGACTATAAGAAAAAAATGAAGGACCAAAAAATTCGTAAGATTACTATTTGAAATTTATTGGTACTTCACCAATTTTAAAATTGTTTGGGTTTATTTATTTTTTTTAAATATTTAAAAATTTTCTTAATTTTATTTTTTTAGGGTTTATTTATTTTTTAAATGTACGCTGTATTAATTACATTTATGCATTGTATTTTTTTTTTCAATATTAAAAATTTGAATTGTTTTACTTTAAATATATAATTTTTATTTTTTAAATAATTTTTTAAATATTTTTATTTTTTTTTTGAAATTTTTTTTTAATTTTAAATAATTTTAGATCACCTACGTATATCTAAATCATAGCAAATTATTTAGTTAATACTTAAAAAAAAAGAGGTAAAACACCAATAAATCCCAAGTTTAGATAGTTTAAACCATTTAGTCCTGCAATTTATTTTGTAGACTCATTGGTCCCATGTCAATGCTAATTACACTGAAGTCCACGAATGTAACGCATGGGTTGGTTATTTGGAGGAATATATTGGGTGTTTAGATGATGTTATAGTTACCAAAAAGCCTAAAAGTATACTATAGCATTTTTTTCCTTTTCGCTCTATTGTGAACAAAACGGAAGCTCAAAAACGTTTCCTTGACGATGTTGCAGTGTTGATCCTTAGTTTGTGTGAGTTGAACGCTAGATTTGGGAACATTACACCTAGAAATCGTTATTCCCCAAATTACATTACAAAACCCCCAAAAAATCCTTAGAAAATCATGGAAACCCTTTCTATCAAGTTTACAAAGGTGAAGCGGCGTGGGTACTGGGACATCTTGGAGTACGATTAACATTGAGGACGTAACGTCGGCGATTTAAACTTAATCCGTTGATGGCATCGTTGATCATGTGTTAGTGCGATGACAAGTATGTGTGTCTTTGATGTTAGTTTGGTTGTTTGTGGAACAATACGACATTAAGGTCAATACTCAAAATGAGTTTTTGTTTAATTGGTGCATTATGTGGGGTTTTAGGTGATCTTGTTCACATTGCAGATTTGGGATTTACCATTGATTACAAATGTGATGTTGTGCATGTTTGTAATGTGATAGACGCATGGTTTGTTGGTTAATGTTGTAATATTTTCACAGGTTTTGGGGTTACCAGTGATTACAAATGTGATGTTGTGCATGTATGTAATGTAACAGATGCATGGTGTTATAGCTAATGTTTGTATGATTAGGTGTGTATTTTGTAATGTTGGGGGCTAGTGGAAGAATGTATGCCTAAAAGTGTTGGTGGGGTTTGGTGGTAGTAGGGGGTAGTGGCTGTTAATTGTCAGGGATTGTTGAACTATGTCGATGTGATGTTATGTGGTTGGTGGTTGGTGTTTGGTGCTAATGTTATAGGTTGTTAGTGGGAGGCTTAATGGTACGACAATATTATTTAGGTAAATGTGAACGTTATAACTCACACACCTCTCCAGGAAAACGCAAATGATTTAACATCAATAATATAACACCAAGTAGGTAACATCAATAATCCCTACAATCACTCCACGACATCCCTAAAAAAAAAATAGAAATGTTAAACCATACCTTATCCACATACACTCAATCCCCAAAAATAATCAAAAACATAATCACAATAAGGGGCAAACTAGTAAACTCAAATATTACTAAATCAAATCGATAATACATACTACAAATAAAAAAGATTATTTGGTTTATAAAAAAACATGTAAGACGAAATGGACTAACATTTCTTCAAATGAGATTTATGAGTAATATTTCCAAAAAAAATGACAAAATATTTTTCTTCAAAAATAAAAATAAAAATTATTTTTTCAAAAAACTAAAATATAATTTTAAAAAACAAAATAAAAAATATATTTTTTAAATGTAAAATTATTTAACAAAATTGATATCGTTGAAACTACATGGATTAATCAAGTTATAATCCCAATACACAATACTGTAGTTCAAATAGCAGATTCACAAGCTTTTGCTCACTTTATTGGGTATTTTTTGAAAAAAAATAAAAATAAAAATAAAAATTATTGACTTATTAACTTATGAAAAATACTTGGTTGTCCGAATAGTTCGAATGTATTAAAATAACGTCGTTTTACAATAACGCCGTTTTGACACATTAGAGCAATAAAATTTCAAGCCATTAAACATTGTAGTTAACTTGTTTAATTCATATTATTTTTTTTATTTTTTTACACATTTTTTAATGATACGCTGTTAAATTTAATAAATAAAAAGCAGCTTTCAAAATAGGCCTTAATAAACAGTAATGTTAGGGATCATAAAAAAGTATCATGAAAATGATCATAAAGATTTTCTACCTTTAGGTCATGTTTGTTTGGGCGGACTGGATTAGCATTCCCATGACTAATAGTCCTAGGACTACGAATCCGTTGGATTATGTATCCTATCTTAACTAATAGTCAAGTTTAAAATAATTAGTCCGTACTTCAATTGTTTAACCAAACATCGGATTAGTAATTTTATTGGATTATTAGTCCAATCCAAAGCTCATATCCTCCCAAACAAACATGACCTTAGATTACCCATATAATAAAATACCACATATTAATCACACACTAATAAAAGAATGAAAAATCTTTATGATGAATTTTATGATATATTTTTCATGATGTTTAGTATTATTGCTTAATAAATTGTTGCAGTTGGACTCGGAGCTACTCCCAAGCGACCATGGCTCTGATGCACGTTTGGCAAAGCTGTTAATCAGCTTCATCTCCTCCTGCGAGTCAGACTATAAAACTACATTTATGACAAAACCCATACTTCCAATCCACCTCAAGTTCTTGAGAAATTGCCCAAAGCTTAGTTGCCAGCAACTTCAATTCTGTGCCAGAAACCAAACCCCTTCTCAAGGCAAAAAACTGCATGCCCACTTTATCAAATCAGGTTTAGACCAATGTGGTACTCTTCCCAACAACCTCCTTGACATGTACGGCAAATGTGGTCTCATTCAAGACGCCCTTCAATTGTTCGACGAAATGCCCCACAGAGACCTAATTTCATGGGCTTCACTTCTCACTGCCCACAACCAAGCCAATATCCCCCATCGTACTATCACCTTGTTCCCCAAAATGTTCGCTCTTGATGGGTTAAAACCAGATCATTTTGTCTTCGCTTGCCTCGTCAAGGCCTGTGCTAGCTTGGGTGCCTTAAAGCTGGGTAAACAAGTCCATGCTGGATTTTTATTATCGCTGTTTTGTGATGATGATGTTGTTAAGTCCTCCCTCGTTGATTTATATGCTAAATGTGGGTTACCGGATAGTGCACGTTTAGTTTTCGATTCAATTTCTAGGAAAAATTCAGTTTCTTCGACGGCTATGATTTCTGGGTATGCCCGAAGTGGACTAAAATCGGAAGCTGTTGAACTCTTGCGTGGTATGGCGGAGAAGAATTTGTTTTCTTGGACGGCTTTGATATCTGGGTTGGTACAGAGTGGACAATGGATTGATGGGTTTAATCTCTTCATTGAAATGAGGAGAGAAGGGGTTGATATTATAGACCCTTTTATTCTTTCGAGCATTGTTGGAGCCTCAGCTAATTTAGCAGCGTTGGAGCTTGGAAAACAGATTCATTGCTTAGTTTTATCTCTTGGTTATGAATCTAGTTTATTTGTTAGTAATGCACTTGTTGATATGTATGCTAAATGTAGTGACATACTAGCAGCAAAAACCATTTTTGATACTATGTGCCACAGAGATATAGTTTCTTGGACTTCAATTATAGTTGGGATGGCCCAGCATGGACAAGCAAACGAATCATTGTCTCTGTATGATGAGATGATTTCAGCTGGATTAAAGCCAAACAAAGTGACATTCGTGGGACTCATATATGTTTGTAGCCATGTCGGGTTAGTTAGCAAAGGTCGTTATCTTTTCAAATCCATGGTTGAGGATTACAAATTAAGTCCTTCTCTGCAGCATTACACATGCTTATTGGATCTTTTTAGTCGATCAGGGCACCTTGATGAGGCTGAGAATCTCCTCAAGACAATGCCATTCAAGCCTGATGAGGCTGCTTGGGCCGCTTTATTAAGTGCTTGCAAGCGCCATGGGAATACCCAAATGGGAGTTCAAGTTGCTAATCATCTGTTGAGCTTAGAACCCAAAGATCCGTCAACTTATATTCTGTTGTCTAATACTTATGCTGGTGCTTCTATGTGGGAGAATGTATCTAAGGTTAGGAAGCTGATGGGTGTCATGGAATTTAAAAAAGAACCCGGTTATAGTTGTATTGAGTTAGGAAAAGAGAGCCTTGTGTTCTATGCTGGAGAGACATATCATCCTATGAAAGATGAGATATTTGGTTTGCTTAAAGAGTTGGATGAAGAGATGAAGAGAAGAGGTTATGTTCCTGATACTAGTTTGGTTTTACACGACATGGAACAGCATGAGAAGGAAAGACAACTATTTTGGCATAGTGAGAGGTTAGCTGTTGCTTATGGGTTGCTTAAGACTGTTCCTGGGACAGTTATAAGGATAGTGAAGAATCTCCGTGTTTGCGGTGATTGCCATGCTGTTCTAAAACACATTTGTAGCATTGTGAAAAGGGAAATTATTGTTCGTGATGCCAATCGATTCCACCATTTTGTGGATGGTAGATGTTCGTGTCGCGACTTTTGGTGATTGCAATTTTGGTTGTAAAGCTATGCTGCTTCTAAATGTAAAGAGGAATCGAAAACAATCATTTAATTACAAATTTTGTAATTAGTTTTGTGGTTAATTTTGTGAGAATGGTATCGTCCCATTAGTAACCATCAATTCTAGAAATATAAATTTTACTTATCCTATGAAGTTATATTAGCAAAACTTAAATATAAAATTCTTTAATTAGTAATTTTGTCTTAGGCTCATTTTACAAAGTGGGTTAAAAGTCAGTTTTTAACCCACTTCTCCTCTCACATAAAAAAAGTTAAACAGTTAAAAAAAGTTAAAAGCATTAACTTTTAACCATCTTTTCAAAACACCCTTAGCTTCCGTTTGGGAAGTGGGTTGGCTTTTTGGGTTTTTTAGCCTGGGCTATTTTAGCCTGGTTTGGGAAGGGCTTTTTGGCTTTTTAGCTTTTTTGGCTTTTTTTGTGAGAGAGGATTGTAATGATTATGGGTTGGATTTGATGTTTTGTTTTTTGTGGCTAAAATAGCCTATTTTGTTTTTTGTGGCTATTTTAGCCTCAAACCAAGTTCCCAAACAAAGGCTTAACATCTTTTGGCTTTTTTTTTGTTATAGCTAAAATTTAAAAAAAAAAAACAAAAAAAGCTAAAATATTCAATAAGACAAAATGTCATATCAAACTCATAATTATTTCATTTTTTTCCTTACAAATATTACATCCAACTACAAAAAAATTGAACTATTTTTCTAAATAAAAAAATTTAACCTACTAAATGTTGGAAAAAATGGTTTAATATAGGCATATTTTTTAGTTCAATTTGAGTGGGTCCCAAACGTCTTTGGGGTGAGTCCGAAGAGGTGACGTGTTCCTTGCCGCGTGGCAAGTCACACGGTGAAGACGGAACGTCAAAACCATTTATGAGTGAATGGGAAGTTAACGTCGCTTTCGGATCTAACATTAATTTTTATTTATTTAAACTTTAATATTGAAATAGTTAAATAAATAAATAAATGAATAGGTACAATCTTTAGGAAACCACTTAGAAACCAAAAATTAGAATTTAGAATTAAATTAAATTCTCACAATTACAAACTTTAGGAAACCACTCAAGAATCCAAAATTTGAATTTAGAATTAAATTAAATTCCCACAATAATTTTTATTGAAAAAATTCAAATGAATTTTATCTAAAAATTAATATTAGATCCGAAAACGACGTTAACTTCCCATTCACTCATAAATGGTTTTGACGTTCCGTCTTCACCGTGTGACTTGCCACGCGGCAAGGAACACGTCACCTTTTCAGACTCACCCCAAAGACGTTTGGAACCCACTCAAATTGAACTAAAAAATATGTTTATATTAAACCATTTTTTTCAACATTAAAATAGGCAAAAATTAAAATAATTAACTTCCTAAACGAAGTCATAATATATAAATTCATATGGACCCACATAAATCTTTTGCGTAGAGACTCAAATAAGATAAGAGTCGTGCAGGACTATCAATTTGCAAGCATCAGCGAGATCGCCAAGATGGGAGGTGAGAATGAGTGGTTGGGATATATATGTTTGGGATAATATATATACACTTTTTTTAAAAAACAATTATGCAATTTAATAAAGGAAGAAGATAAGTTAGAATTCAAAAACAGTTTGAAAATTATTTAGAGCAGTTGCTGAATATGAAATTTACATTTAACTGTTTATGTTGGTGCTAAAGTAGTTTCATACCCAAATTGGTTAGTATTTTAGTTGGACGTTTTAGTTTTTTGAATTTTTACAAAAAGAGATGTAAAAAAAAAAGTAATGAAAGTAATGTGGTGAGGTGTTTTGTTTTAGGGGCAGCATGTCTTTAGTCCACTGGATGGTATTGTTAGGCTTTTGGGGCTTACCATAGGTCTTATTTTAATAATTCGAATCATTGAATGTGTAGAGCTCGTTGAGTCTTTTATTCTTAAAAAAAATCACATTAATCGGATATCGATAACTATTTGATCGAATCAGATTTTTATCAATAATTTATTTTGAAAATTATATTTACCGTTGACAGAATCTGATCCGATCAAGTAACTATTGATATCAATCAATGTAATGGTTTATAAGGATAAAATACTCGACGAGTTTCACACATTGAACTGTTCAAATTATCAAAACGGGACCCGTGAAAGCCCCACAGACTGAATAACACACTATAATCTAATCACGGACTGAAGAGAAGTCTAGTCTTATTTTATTGGCAATTTTAGTATGGGATAATCCATCCCAAAAACGTGTTATGGCAAATGCTAATAAGTATTTCCAGACACTAATCAAATATTGATATTGATATTGAAATTAAAAAATGTTTAAAAAAAAAGTACAATTATTAAAAGTTTATGAAATTCATGAAAAACATTATAAAATGAAAGAAAAACATCTCATACTCTTTTATGGATTAATCAGTGAAAAGTTTATTCTTACAGGCCAGGCATTATTTGGTCTAATGTTTAATTTTTTTTATGATAAAGACAAGCATTGAAAAATTATCAGAAAAGTCGTCAGTGCCAAAAAAGTCATCGAAAATTGATCAGAAAGTTGGCAGCAGTGGCAGTGAGGTAAACATATAGGTGATATTGAATAAATAAGTGAATAGATATGTGACATGTATATAGATAGAAATATTTGAATATATATAGCTGGACAAATAGGTGACACATGTACAAATATGTGATAGTTAAACAAATAGACAGATAGATAAGATTTGAATAAAAAGTATGTTTTGGGACAAATAATGTTGTTTTGGCCCAAAAAAATTTAAATTTTGGTCTATTGGCCTAAGAATTTCAAAAATGAACTTCGGACCTGAATGGTTTTTTTTATTATTATTGTCTTAATCTCGTGCCCTAAGTGCACATAGAATAACATCAATAAATTTAGTATTTTAATAAGGCAAATGATAGCAAGTACTCCCAAGTCATTGTTTAATATTAGAAAGTGAGTAAAAAGCATTTTGAAAATATATGAAAATCTTAAAAAGTATATTGATTTTAATAAAATTATATTGAATTTAATAAAAAAACGTATTGTGTTTTTAAATTTTTATATCTATTATTTGTGTCCAATGAATCTTGTTAACAAGACATTTTTAATAATTGAACATACAATGAAGTTATTCTTTGGATTCAAAAAAATCCCAGTAGAGATTTTTGTTGGCCAAATCTTATGTAGTATTATTATTAAATAATGATGAGTTTGAGATTTTGCTATCCTATTTGACGCATAAAACAATCACTAATTCTTATCTGTATTTCCAAAGACTGCATTATAAAAATACTGCCTCTGAATTCAAGTTGCCTTTAAACTTAAATTATTCCAAAGAACTTTATAAAACTCGTTAGCATTAGATCATCTTTCAATCGTTTTTGCATTTTACTAGGGAGGAATTTTTCAAGTTGAAAGTCAAATTTGACTCACATTAGAAAAGAAAAAATAGTCAGAATAGAGAAATAGAATGATTCAGATTTATTTCCTCTATCCAAGAGTATTAATGTTTAAATTACATGTTCATACTGTATGATTTATATGCCATCATTCATTAATCAAGTAAATTGAGATTTATTATTAGAAGAAAAATTTTTTTACTCAAAATATCAAAATTTATGACTCATTTAATTGGCGATAAAACTAAGTGAATTTTACTTCCAATAGTAAAATTCATGAGGTCTCTTTGAAAAATCAACTTTGTTAGTATTTGATTAAAATACTGGTTCGTTGATAGTATCCATGAATATTTTTAAAATTAGAAGAGAAAAGAAAACTGACTTCCTAAATAAAATAATATATAATAATGTGGAGACATAATTTTTGAATGATAACACGTGGTCGAGGTGTCACCGAAGTGCCAGCCGAAGTGCCACGTGTCCTGATCATGATGCTGAGATCATTTCGGCTAGGCTGAGGTTATCTGCGAAGATATCAGAATCCGGGATAAGCGGATAAGGGACAAAAGTCCTAAAATGAGAGAGAACTTCAGTTTGGGTAAAGACAAGACTCAATCCTAACCCTACTGGGAGTCCAAGATTAGCAGTAACTCTAAATCCATTAGAGTTAGGCTTCTATTGGGATTAGGATTGTGTTAGTTATAAAAGGGAGGCACCCCATGGGTCTAAGATACGTTTTTTTATATTCTGAATAGTAAGTTAAGCACTTTTGCTATCTTTGAGAGATATTTTACTGACTTGATCGTCGGAGTGCCCCCGGATAGACGAACCACCGCTGAAATCTCTTTTTTTTGTTGACAGGTTGTTCAGGTTTAATTTATTCTACCAGTACTCTCCAGCTAAGTACTAGTTTGGCAGTGTGGTCAGAAATCAACACACACAAATAATATGGTCATTTCTTGATAATATGTATGATACTCTCAAATTTAAAAGTGAAAAAATACTTGATAAGAACAGACCGATTGAAATTAAAGAATTTAACTTGATAAAATTAGAAATTTAATTTAATTTAATTTAAATTTTTTTTTTGGTTATAAGATTCAAATTCTAATTTTTTTCATCAAATTTTTTAGTAATTACGGCCAATCAAGGCTTTAGTCAAATTCGTAAAGAATAAGTTTGACATCATTTACAATTTTATTCATAATAATATGATAACAAATATGTTAATTTTTAATTTATTATATATTTAATAATAATAGGTCCAACTCTCAGGATCTTACTATAAAAATTTATTAACACAAATATATAAATCTCTAACCTTACTGATTGATAAAAGGCCCTCACACCTTACTTTTTTCATCGATTGATGCCCTCACACTTTACTTTCATCGATTGATTTGCGCCTCTATCTTAAAATGTTAACCTTTGATGGTGACAATATCCAATGATTAATCAATGAGAACTTGTCAAACAATCATCTGTATCCACATCATTAATCCTATACCTCACCAAGTTTAATTTAATCCACAAGCGCCACAAAGGTGCACAAACAGAATCACCGTTGTCCACATACGTGGAGCAATCACAATCGTCTATGACACCAGATAAGGATGGGTAAGGAAAACTATCAGAACAATTCATTACAGTGGATACATCCCCTCTGGACATACTCAATATTCTGTATGAAAATAAATAAATAATTCTATATATTCGTTCAAAATAAACATTTATCAAAATAATTTATTATTTCAAAAG